TTTTTAATATTTTTGCATTTTAAAAAAGTAAATCAGAGCTGAATGAATGCAAAAATGCAGGCAAATTTGCCTGCGTTGGCCTACAATCTAAGGGATAGAATTGCTGAGAAATATTTAGAACAATGCAATATTATAATTATTGAAAATATAAAAAAATAAAATAATTGATCTTTAGACATTCAGAAGCAACTGTTAATTAGCAGACTTTTTATTCACATTTAAAAATTGTTTCAAAATCTCCTGTACTAATCACTATATAGTTTGTAAAAAGGTTTTAAAAAATTAACCAGGCTGAACTAGTTTAAGTAGAATATTAAAAATAACAAAAAAAAAATAAATAAGTACAATAAATAAAAAATAAAAATTTCAATTATTAAAAATACTAATTAAAGGTATTTTTAATCATAGCTAAATCAATGGATCAGAAGATCAGTTTTTAATTAGTAAAAATTATTTTTTACTATTTTTTACTAATTAAAAATTGATCTCTGATCTATTGATTTAGCTATGATTGAGATGTTTGAAAACATTCTAAATATCTTTTTTTCATTCTTGATAGTTCTAATACCATAATAAAGTCCAAGATTATATATTGAAAATTACCATTCAACAGATTTTAAATTTTATTTAAATGCCTTGTTTTTATCTTTATCAGCTTCATAACTATTTTGATAACACTTTTCAAATTATATTGTCTAATAAAATTACTATTTTCAGAAGATTTGAAATACTATTCAAAAGATTATTCATAATACTATAACATTAAATAATAATTAAAAAAGTAGAACCTACTATTTAATTCTGAAAAATCTATAAATTCTAACCAAATTTTTTTGCTACATCTAACTAATTTTTTTGACCTATTAATGCAGCTACTGTATTTGGATCTAATGAAGTATGATTATTATCAATAATACAATCAGCGCAGCTAAACATTTGTTCAGATAGAATATTTGTCACAGGTATTACAAGAAAATCTCAAGCCATTGCTGCCAAATTAGAAAAATGAATCTTATTATATTTCCACTATTCAAGTACATTAGTAGTTTTTATAGCTATCAGTTCATCTAAATATCATTTTACTTGACATAATAGATTTTTTTTATTAATCTGAGTTTGTTTTATTGTATATTCAAAGAAATCATCAATATGGTTTTTAAATATAGATGTATCATTTTCAGTATCAATAACAATCTTATGATCAATAGTTGGTGGTAAGTAATAAGCATGAAGATATAAATCTTCAAAACTAATTTTTAATACATATTAGAATTTAAAAAAAAAAATACAAATCAAATTAATCAATACACATACTTCATTTGAATGTTCTATATTTTTTCATTAAGATCCTATGACTCTAGTTTTTCTTTTTCATGATAATAATATGAAATAAATTGCATTTTATAGTGAGAATCAAGTATACATACAGTTAGATGCAGAAAACTGCTATCCTCCTAATACTTATTAAACTTTTCAATCATAGCTTAACTAGTATTATAAACAAAGCTATCTGAATATGATTTTATGCTCAAAAGATGGGTATGAATATTCCAAACTGAGGCAGTGTATTGTTAAGAGTTGAGTAGGAATTTGAAGATAAGTTTAAAGTATCTATTTTATTTAAAAAAATAAAAAGGAGTATATTACTATACATCGAATGAGCATTATTTCAAAAACAGTTATACTATTTTTAATTTAAAAAGACACAATATCAAAATAACTTCATGCCAAAAATTTGACATTTATTTTTTAATTAGACAGAATTTGCATTATAACAATACATACAATCATAAAATAGCTTTAAAATATAACAAATAGTTTTAGCATTTTTCTATTTATTTTCATTAGGTAAGTCAGAGAATGTTCTATCTCTATCTTTTATTCTAATGATCATATTTATAACTTTTGTAGCTGATTATAACATCAGAAACATAGAGTTCCAGCGTATATTACAGTCTAACAGTAGAATTATAGGTCTTTCAGATTCTGACTCACAAATATCTAAAAATATTTGATATCATTTTGGTGATATATGCAATGCTTTAATGCAGTTACAAATCTAAACAAATTTAACATAATAAGTAATTATTAGCAATGCTAATAAACTATTAATTTTATACAAAATAAATTCCACTAGTCAAAATCAAAAAAAAATTAACTGCTATTCAGCATGTTGATTTTTTTTTTAATTTTAAATAGAATATATAATTACTTTTTCAGTAATACATAAAATTTTTTTAATCCATCTTTTACTATAAGGTTCAGAATATGAGCAAAACAATAGTTATGAAAAAGATCTTCATTGATGTCTATAAATGATTCTCATGAGATATGACTAACTAGTTTATGAATTGTGACATCATTTGAATGAGCATTGTCAAGGGTGATGGCTTGCAACTGTAATAATAAATTATAAATAACTTTTAAATGTCTTTCTTTAAAATAACATTTTATTATTATAAAAAAAAAAATCTGCCTAAATAATTTAAAAATAATTATTTAAATAGTGCTAAAATAAATTATGACCTAACAATAATAAACTGCTAAGCATCTTAGTAGTAATAAACCAATCATCTGTCTTAGCTTTAATAAAATTAGCAATATTAACTCCAGTATAAGAATAGAGAATTAATAGAAATGATAATAATATAGAAATAAGCTTCTAGTCCTCATCAAGAAAATAAGCAGTAACTGACATATATTCAAGTTGCTGAAGTGATGTTCAAGCATCATAGGTAAGAGAGATTTTGCCTATAGTATTCTGAAGAATTTCTTTGATCACTGCTTTTCTTTTATCATAAGATTTCATAATATCCTGCTTAATAGTATCAGTACTAATACTAAAATCAGGTAATAATTCATTGATAAGTTTATGAAAATCATGGCCTTCAACAAATTAAAAGCTTAATTCATCTCAGACTATCATATTAGCTAAGTCTTTTCGAGTTGAATCTTTTGTATATGGTCTTTTTTTTGTTAGAGTACTAAATATTAATTGTGTTTGACAATTTAATAAATTTTAATATTTCTAACAAGAATCAAGATAATGTCGAAGGTGGAATATTCTACTTCCTTTTTATGACTTAATAATTGATTACAATGTTCATATTTGGCTTTTTTTCATCAATTAATTTGGAAAAATGTTTTCAAACAATAGATATATTTTTTGATGACGTAGTGGTGCTAGTGGTAGTGCTAGTACTAGTATTTTTGCTTATATTTTTGCTAGTAGTTTATTCTTATCTTTGCTGATGGATTCACTTACATTTTTGCTAGTAGTTTCACTCATATTTTTGCTAATAGTTTCACTCATGGTTTTGCTTGTAGTTTTATTAGAAATCAGCACAGAAGATGTTGAAGCTAAGTCATTAGTGACTGATACATTATAAATATCACTATTGTCGATATAATCATTGTCTATAGGGTTATTTATAGGGTTATCCATAAGGTTATCCATAAGGTTATCCATAAGGTTATCCATCTTTGGCAAGCTTATTTCTGTTGAGTTTTACTGACAATATTTTTAATTTTCATTTTAGAGTTTTATAATAATAAATGTTGCAGCGATTCAATTAATTTTAACTTACTGCAGATTTTAGTAGCCTTATACAGGTCTTAGGTATGTTTTTTTTTTTTTATATCTCTACTGCTAATACAGTTAGAGGCGTAGTTGGCGCTCTTTTATTAAGAAATTATAAATATATTATATATGTTTTAAATATTTACATAAAGATTTAGAAGTTTT